TTATTTGAGACTTGTATCCTTACTTGATACTTTTCACTATTACAATTGATTATAAATACTAATAGTATAGTATTATAAATACTAGTAGTATAGGATAACCTCCCCCCCCCTTGACCTTTTTTTTGTAAAGTTAAGTTTTCTTAATTTTCTGTATTTTCTTATATGAATATATGATATTACTTTTAAGTATGTCAGATGTCTGTTTTCTAAATGTTCTAACTGTGGTAATTTTACCGCTCTGATATACTTTATGCCACTAGTCGGCATATATGTGACTATTGGACAACAAAATCATATACCTCTATGGTAGTACGTAGGTATTCTGTATTTTTTAATTTTCTGCGAATTATTTTTCATGCATAAGTGTTTATAATAAACCCAATAAATAGTAGGTAAATAAACAAATTACCATGAAGACTGTAGGGCGATTACCATAAGGCGTGGGTTTATTTTTAGTGACTGAAAAAATTGTATTCACCTTGGGTTACATGCTTTAGAATCTAAGTTTAGATGTTGGGATAAAGGAGTTTTATCCAAATATTCATGAAATTTTGAAAATATATTGTACTTTGCTTGTTGCTCAACTGCTACACCTGAACGATGTTTTTTAAGTTTTTATTAAGTATTAAGTCTTCCTAATAAATGGTCTGACAGAAGTAAATAATTTATCAATTTTCCTATCTAATATTGAATAATAACTACAAATTACGGTAGTTACTATTTTATACTTTGTTATTAGAACCGACTAATGTGTCAGCTTTATTGGCATGTCACCAGTCAATACAATAATCATGCCAGATGACTATTTTTTGGTTATCGTATTAAACACGAAATTGGGGTTAGTATGAATTTATAATAAATGCTATTAGGTTCTATACAATTTGTGTTAATTCTTATTTCGCCTTGATCCACACTAACCTCAAAAAGTTAGAGGATTTTAAAAATGTATATCATGTACATATTTATGGGTGTACCTATTATTATATATTATTTCCTCCTCCCCAAGCAAAATTCCTAATACGCCACTGTAGTATAGTATAGTATTGTAAATACTAGTAGTATAGTATAGTATTGTAAATACTAGTAGTATAATATAGTATTATAAATACTAGTAGTATAGTATTTATAATCAATGCTATTACGTACTTATATTATTAATAACTAGTTACCTAGTACTAATGATATTTTTAAAATATAAAGGCTACCTACCAGAGTAGAGTGACCTATTTAAAGACAACTTATACTTGATACAATTATAAAAAATACCATTGTTGTAAAATAAATATTTCTGTTTAGTTATAAAACTTTCCACTGTTTTTTATCAATAGCATTTCTAGATAAAATAAAACAAAATTGAATTATTATTTTTAATTAATTTTATGAACAAATATACTTATTTTTAAATTATTTACAAAAATTCCACCAAAACAATGCATAAAGTAAGTTTTAAAACAATAATTATGTAAAATGTTGGGACTAGATTATATATTATAAAAATAACTATAAAATTGTGATAATAAACAAAATATATAATAATAAAATAAATTTGAACTAATTTATGGAAATGATAGCTATTAAAGGTTTTTTGGTGACGCCAGGAGGTATATTAAAAAATTATATTCATAATAAAATAATGTGCAAATCAATAAAAATTATTGATTATTGTTCAATCAGACTAATTTCATTTTGATCCAAATGATACAAAAACAAATTGGTAGGGTATCATTATTTTACTTGAAAGTTTTGTTTAATTGATCTTCTTTGTTAGATTTCCAGTATCTAGAGTGTCCAAATGAATACATCAGTGTACACTAAAAATAAAAATACATTTTAAAACTCAAATAATTGTTTATGTTTAAGATTTTATTAAAATAATGAAGCATGCAAAAACTAATTTTAAAGTTATTATAAGCAGTAAATTACTTTAAAACAGTTTCAACCTAAGAAAACATTATTTTAATTGTTTATTATCTATTAAGTTTTTTATTTATTTATATAAAGTCCATGATAATTGATAAACATATATTATAAATAGTAAATAACTATTTTATGATTAATATTACTTTTAATGAAATTAAATATTATTTGTTTATTTTGGTCCTTTATATTAATTTTATTAGGCTAGATAAAGTTTTCTATTTACAAAGAATAATCATGAAATAAGAACTGGTTAACACTGTCACTCATTACTAGTATGCTTATGATGCGATGAGCAATTAAATACACAACTTACACTTTTGAAATACCCACCATTATCTATAGTTTATTGATTGTATTTATAATGTATATCTTCCATAGTTATGTCGTCTATTTGTAAGTAAATTCACGGGTTTCATAATTTTTATAACTTTAAATAGCAATTTAAAGCATATATTTACATACAAATGCCTGATGAAAATACTATATATTTTCCAATAAAAAAATACTGTATGCACTTGGAAGACTCACAGTAGCGATGTTAAAGCAGAAATGACAATTGGTTTACATTCATTTTATATTGAATGCCAGCATTAGACTTTAGTATTTCTATTATTATATAAATGGTAAATCAGTATATTTTTTTGGGGGATGTTTTGAACTAATAATACTAATACTAATAATAATTTCTTTATTACGGAATAAATTCCAATAACAATAATAACAAAATAAAAATAATAATAATCAAAAGTATAAGTAGTTTAGGAAGTAATTATTTAAATAACAATAATAATGAAATACAAGAAAATGCTTATCGAGAGTACTTAAGGAAATAAATCAAAATGTATTGCAGTGTTACCCGCAGACATTAAAATGTTAGCAGGACTGTGTGACATATATTTAGTTTTAAAATTTGACAGATAAAATGTATGTTTAATTCTAGAGTTAATTGTATTTACCTTAAAGTTTAACTTCTCCACGGAGTTCTGGACAATCGATCATATTATGCAATAATTTACATAGGAATCTTAAATTTAATGTAGGTCTCTATTTTTTAAAGAATCAATTCTAAAAAAATATCTGATTATATTATATCCCGAATGAGGGGATCTTTCCACATTACATTTATATGACAGATATCTTAAAAAATTATTTTGAATTGAGGAAAGGCTGGTATTTTGACCTATATTATCGGTGTGCCATATTAATGAAGCATATTCTATTTGAGATCTGACTAAAGAAAAATATAAAGTTTTTAATGCTGAGCTATCGTAGAAATCTATACAAATGCGTTTTAGAAGACCTAATTTCATAAATGATTTATTACGAACGTAATCAATATGCTTATTAAAAGACAGTTTTGAATCAAAAATCACACCTAAGTCTTTGGTAGTATCATCATGGGTTAAGCTAAGTTTATTCAAGGAGTAATCAAAATATAAAGTAGATTTTTTTAATGAATATGAAACAGTGGAGCATTTATTAATGTTCAATGTCATACCATTCTCGTGGCACCATTTATAAAAGTTATCTAAATCAATTTGAAAGTTGTTAGAATCATCAATACAATTAATTATTTTGAAAAGCTTAGTGTCATCAGCAAGTAGTAAGCAATCCGAATGTTTTAAAACCTTAACAATGTCATTTATGAAGAGAGAAAATAGTAATGGTGATAAATGATCTCCTTGGGGGAGACCAGATACAACCTTAATTATATTAGAAGTGAAATTTTCATATTTAACAATTCGTGTACGATCAGTTAAAAAAGAATTTACCCAAGAGAGCAATGGATTAATAAAACCGACTGATTCTAATTTTTTTATTAATAATTGATGATCGACTCTATCAAACGCTTTTTCAAAGTCTGTGTACACAACATCGAACTGAGCTTTATCATTAAAAGCGTTTAAGATAGTTTGTTTGAAAACACATAAATTGGTTACAGATGAACGTTTTGGTCGAAAACCGTGTTGTTCATTGCAAATAATTTTTTTCGCAAAGGGGAAATATCTTTTTATTAACAAGTTTCGAAAATAATTTAGGGAGAATTGAATTTTTAGAAATTGGTCGGTAATTTGAAACTTGAGATCTGTCACCTTTTTTAAAGATTGGTGTTAACATAAGAAGTCTTCCATTTATCTGGGAATACACCTGTTTGAAGCGATTTATTAAATAAAAAAGTTATAATATCTGATAAAATAAATGAGGTTTCTTTAAAAAATCTAGCTGAAATATTATCGGGACCACTAGATAAATTTATCTTAATAGACCAAAGTTCGTTAAAAACTTCCATTTTGGAGATATTGATTGAGTTAAGATTAAGTGAAGAATTATCAAAAATAAATTTTTCAGAATTATTTGAAGTGCTTTTTTTATAAACATTTGAAATAAGGACATATTACATAAATGTCATTTACTCGTTGTTATAATAATTTTTAAATTTAACAGAATTTTTTTTTTTTATACTGCATTTTTTGATTCTTAACATAAGTTTGACTTTTGATACCCTGATACAAATTTGTAGAGTTAAGAATTGAAATTTAGGTTATAATGAAAGTGTTAAATGAACCTAAGTTAATTTTTTCATATTTATCTCACATAATTTCTAAATAAAATTAATTATTGGTATTATAGTCTTTTAGTCACCATTTCTGGTGTTTTTATTGTATTGACTAATGGATATCACCGTTAATTAGAGTTAAAGTCCTGCCATGTTAATGTCTGTGTTCGTACATTGGCTGTTATACGATATAAAATGTATTTACAATATATAAGCATTTTTAAATTTTAATAGTATACATAGTTATAACTTGCTTGAAATTGAGCAAACATATAGACAACAGTTACTGTTCTTAACTTTATTTTGTTAATAAGTCAATTTACCCTAGTATTAAACAAACAACAGAAGATTGGTTCTGCTGAACACAAATTTGCAGTGTTAAGCATGGGTCAGAGAGGGGAAAAAAATAGTGCACTGACATGCTCTTAATAATAACAATTGTAAAGTTTAAAAAAAGAATTAATTCAATAGTTAAACAATTATAAATTACCAAATACTGTTTTAAACAGTAGAGTAAATGACGCTAGCTTCGACCATGAACACTGTTTTTTTGTGCTTTCTTTTTACGTGCTGCTAACATGTCATAAAAAGGATTATGACTAATACTTTGTCTGAAAATGGTAATAATGAGTTATTAAAAATAATCACATACACATGTTGACATATTGACTGTATTGGCTTTTGGCAATTAATTTTGATTGAGATGAAATATGGTTTTATCATTATTGGGTAGGTTAGGTGATAAAAACCATACTTAATTAGTATGCAATAAGAAATTAAATAAATTCACTGTATTTAGTATATCTGTTGGAGATGTTCAAATACTAATTAAAGACTTTCAAGTGTTGAAGAGTTGTATAACGAAATAAATTGATAATTTACAGATATATTTCTAAATACATTTCTATAACGATTAATGAGTAACTATTGCAATTTAAATAAAAACCAAGTGTCATCACATTTAAGATGATGGAAGTCTAACTTGCTTTACCCTAACCGTAACTGTAAATTATTTTCTTACAACTTACTTAAGGCATTTTGTCCATTCATCTTTTTCTTCTGCTGTAGCTGCTGACATTCTATACACAGTATGCTTACCTAAAATACAACCAATCAATTAAACCATGTAATAAATTAATATAATTTAGGCTGGTGAAAACAAACTATTTTTAAGGGGTTGGATTTAGGCAATATTCTATATCCACCTTGAGTGATGTGTAACTGTGTGTGTAGTGACTGATTATTAGTATGTGTAAGTTCCCGAATGCTTATTATTAATTAAAGATAAACTACAGTAAAGATTCTTGAAGAATCCATAATGCACATACACGCAGTCACTTGTCACTATATTATGTGATCAAAAAATTTTCAACGTGAAAGTATCAAAAAGCGGAAGAAAAATTCACTCAGTATCAAAAGCCCGATTCTAATTTTTAAAACATATTTGAATTCCTTATTCTCTTTTCTAGGGTATGTAGAAAATGGATTTTCGATTTGTAGTATTGTTTGATTAGTATAGTACCTATAGTATATAGGTAATATAGTACCTAACCTATAGTACTATTATTTTTCTTTTTTTTAAAAAAACATTCATTTTTACTTTATTGTTACTAAATAAGAAAAGAAAAGAAAATCCATCTCATACATAACCTAGAAAAGATAATAAGGAAATCAAATATTTTTTCAAAATTAAAATTGGACTTCTGGAAGAATATATTTTTTTCACGAAAAACAACCCATTTTCAACAATCTTAACAATATTTTTAAAAATGCTATAAATATTTAGTATGTAAGATAATACATTTAAATATACATTAGAATACATTAGAATGATAAATATTCTTAACAAAAATATCATTCATTAGATGTCATTAATATCAAACATTTCCTTCAATTGTCGCCTGCACTAATAAGTAATTATATTTCAATTCTATTTCATTATACAGCAGAATCTGCTTATTACGATGCCATGAATAACGATATTCCGGTTAAAACGATTCCCAGCCATGTATTTGGTAGGTTTTATATCTCATGTGCATACTGTTTTTGTCATCCAGATATAACAAAGTTTGGATATAACAATCTGGTGCTCTAGATCCCAGAAGATCATTTTGAGCGAATTATTTTTTTTTTTATACTGTATATTTGTTTATTGTTTTACTATTTTAATTTTGAGTTTGATTTACAAACCATATCAAACACTCAAAGTATGATTATATTCAATTAGAAACTGAACAATTACTAACAGTGCAATAATTATAATCATTAAATTATTATTTTATCTTTATTCTCACCTTCTACTACTTTTCCTTCACTATCTGTTTTACAAGCTTTAATAAAGTCCGTAGTTCCAGGAGCTGCATACAACTCAAAACAGTGTGGTTTATGGCGATCAGATACTTCTCGTACTTCAATATTTTCTAGTGGAATTATTCCTCGAGGTTCCTTGTCGGTTGTATATTCAAAATAATACAGACAATTATCATTTAAAATGAACCAACGACGCTTCCAACTTTTATATCGGCCACCTACAAATTTTACATTTTAACAAAAGTGTAATATATTACATTAATCTAATATAAGTATAATACCTTGTTTCCATAACCATCCTTCTTTGTCTGGGTTGAAGAATGTATGCATTAAGTCATTACCATCATCTTCGGGAATTTTAAAAGGCTCTGTTTTTATGCTATCATATAAACTCTTTATGAACAAAAAATTAAATAATTAAATAATTAAAAAAATATATATTTTTGAAAAAATGTCTACTAAATTCTTTAACCCACAATTAAAAGTTCTCTAGGTAAATCTCCACCATTGTTGATACCACGATTCATTTGTATAAATTGCTCAACTGATGGTTTATCTTTGACACTAGGGTTATGAAGACTTGTGTTTAACATTATAATAGCAAATGACAGAACATAACAAGTATCTAGAAAAATATTCAATTAAATAAAATTATCAAGAATAGTTAATAAGCATATTACCTGTATTGGTAAAAATATTTGGGTTTAATTGACAATATCTTTCTGCAAAACACTCCATCATTCTATCAATTTTTTGTGCTTCGCCAGGAAGTCGAAAACTCCATAAAAATTGTCTAAAAATATATCACATTGTCCATTAATTAGTCAGTAGTCTATTTAAATTAAAATTGTTTATGATTAATTTAAATTAACAATGGAATTTACGATTAACTAATGGTTATTGGTTATACTCTACAGTATTTTAGTTACAATTACATTGTAATACATTTAAATTACATTTTAATTATAAATGTATTTTATTTTAAACAATAATTAGTAACAATTAAATATTGTTTAATGAAGTTTCTATCTAAAAATTAATAGTTTACAATAAATTAATTTTATATTAAGTTAATTATTTATATACTTTGATGAGTAATTAAATCACCTACCTTTAGTATAATTATATTATTAAAATTTAGAGGAAAAGTAATTAGCGTATAAAAATGTAACATTGTTGTTTCAGCACCTAATAAAATAAAGGACCACTATTTTAATATATTTAATATTATTTAATAGGTATTACCCTTTATTAAGTATATTTTCTCTATATTTCACATATTTAGTAAAACCGTTTACAATTACATAGGTTAATACAAAAATCATTAAACAGGACTATCCTATTATAAACAAATTTAACTACTTTTATAATAATATAATTACCTAACCTAACTTTACAGATGTGTACAATATTGGTTAGTACAGCACATTTTAATATGAGATAAAAACTAAACATAATTAATTAATTACAGTTGGTTCCTAAGTATATAATTTTGTATTTACCTAAGAGCTTGAACCAGTATGAGATCAGTAAAATCATGCAGGGAAACAAACTCTCTTAAAACTCTTTCGTTAAAATCATTTCGTTCTCCCAAATAATCGCCAATTGCCGTTTTATTTAGTCCTTCTCCTTTATAGAGGAAAGCAGCAACATCAGCTTCATTGTGATTTAGTAGACCATGTTCAACAAGAAATTCAATTCCTTTCTTTGGGTCCATATTGAATTTTTTACGACCAATTGATATTTGTTTAGCTTTGGTTTGATTTTTACTAAAAGAAAAAGAAAAATAATATTCATTATAAATTAATCTACTACATGAAACAAAATTGAAATAAATGGATATAATAAATAACAATAATTACCTATCATCATTAGAATCCATATTTTCCATTTCACTAACAACTTCGGATAACTCATCTTTCAATTGCTAAAAAATTAAATAAAATATTAAGATATGTTAAACAATTTATACTGGACATTTATAACTGCACTAATAAATTCACGCTAAAAATGAATAACATATAATATGTAATATTAATAAAATAAAAGAGCTTGTTTGTTTTTAATGTAGGTACAGCATGTGGTACATCTAAAAACTGTCAAAATTAAGTATACAAATATTTATTTTTTTAGGAATGTAAAATAAATTAATAATCAATATTGTAGTTAGAAATAATACATCAATATGGTATAGATAACATACCAAGTTTATAATACAGTCTAAATTAATAATGTACATTTTCAATAACAAAAAATTGTTTTGCAAGTTTATCTATTTGTTTCAAGTACTAATATTAAATTAGATAAATACAAGTGATAAAATGTGTCATGCATTAATTTAAAGTGTGAGTATGTATTAAATATTACTAGGTACTTATACCTAACTAAATTATAATTATTTGAAATTAAAATTTTTGTTTAATTTTAAAAATCCTAAAAATTATCTAAGATAAAGGTAGGTATATGTATTTAGTTTTTAATATCAATTTTGTGAGCTAAGTATACTCTGTTCTACGAGAGATCATGCCGCGCACCGACCAAAACTGGTTCCCCTACGCCACACCCTGTCATAGGGTAACCAGTTTCGACAGTAGGGAGACACAGGGAGATGCGCAGAACCGGCATGATCTCTCGTGGAACAGAGTATAGTTATTAGTTGTTAGAGTTTTCCCTTAAAAGTGTTCTTAAGTAAAATATTTTTATTATAACTCTAAAATGGTTTTTTATTCGCATATAAAATACAAAACTAAATTTTATATTTTTTAAATAGGTATTCATTATTGAATCTGACACAAAGATAACAGAATTAAACACAATACAATAACAAAATACTCGTAACCTAATTGTCAAATAAAAATATGAAAGTAGTAAAAATATTGTTTTTGTATTAGTTATGGTAAGGAACAAAATAACGTGTACCTATAATAGATCAATAAACAAACATTAAATTCCATAGGAACTACTGAAAGTTAATGAAATAATAGTATTAACTAGGGCTGGGCCGATATGCAAACCGATATCGATTATCGGCCGATATTGGCAATATCGGTTTTATCGGTATCGGTTTTTTTTTTAAACCGATATAAAAAAAAAACAATTTATCATTATAATATGTATAATCTAGTATAATCTATGTATAATCTATTTTCAACTCTGCGGTTATAACTGTAAACACTAAACGTATTTATTTATAATGATGTTATCATGTATTATCGGGTATTTTATAATATCAGTTCGTGCGTTTGAATAAAAATTCAAAGTTTTGAATAAAAATTCAAAGTTTTGAATAAAAATTCAAAGTTTTGAATATATCGGTTATCGTTTATCGGTTAAAAGTGATATCGGCCCATCCCTAGTATTAACCTGATTAAATATTAATCATATTAATTAAACATAATTGTTTTATTCTAATAAATTTAAACATATTAATTGATTTCAGTATCATTTTCTTCATCCAACTGTTTTCACATACAATTTTATTTAATGAATCTTTTTCAAGGTTAAATTAATGCATCAAAACGACATGGGAAATATGCAGATAATATACAATTTTATACTAACCTGTATTTCAAGTAATAATTCTGCCTTACGACGTCTTATTTCGATTAACAATTTTTGTTGATCCGTCGAAAGTTCTAAAATAAAAATAATAATTTATAATTTTTGAAGTAATGAATGTATAAAAAACATTTTTTAAAACTTTTCTTTCTTAATTTATAATAATGAAATATTTTCCTTTAAAACTTATAGGTATGTTGGGTTTTATTTTAATCCATATTAATTGGATAATAGTTACAGATATAATATTCTATTTTTAGACGAATTGTAAAAAACAAATCTTATACCTGATGTTTTGTATTAAAATATAATAGCAACATACCATCGAGTATAAATAAATGGAAAACAACTTTTGAATAACAATATAAAAAAAAATGTATTTAAAGCTATAGAAAAAATGATTTGTGAGAAATTTAAATTAACTTATATTTAGCACTATGCTAAAAGTTCAGTTATGATATGAATAATTTTAACTGTGCAGAGGTATGGTTACGCATTTAAAATAGACTAGCACCATATCTTAGACCATATCTGTATGTATATGAAGATGTAGAAATTACTTGCATTCTAAATGCCTATTGTTTGATTGATTTAATTACCAATGACTTAATTATAGTGTCATGGTTTTCAAATATATTAAAATGTATGATTTTAGAAAGCTATATACCTACCTATAAACATTATTTTTGGTAGATTTAAAATTTGATTGTATCTTTAATTTTTATATTTTGTTTTGTAATTTGTGTACAATATATTTATATATGTAATAAATATATTAGTATTATCATAGTAAATCACATTGGTGAATCTAGCCCTCCAAGACTGATAGTGTACCTATTATGTTTACAGGTGCTTAAAATATATTTATAATTTTACATAAAATATTATATGAACTATCCTAACCTATATAGATATACATGGAAATATATTCAAAACAGTTAATTCTATTATTATATTTTATTAATGTATTTATTCAGTTACATTTATTTCTACTGTGCATCAGACAGTGGAACAGCACAATAGTGTCACTCCGTGCGCTAACTATGTCTTGTGCGATTATTGATGCTGTACAATAGACATATTATAAAAAAATATAGCTGGGACTTAAGCCCCTTCAAATAAGTTTATCAAGCTCCACTTATGAGTAAAACATATTACATATGAATATTTTTACTTTTCATTATGTATTTAATTTTCTGATAAGTATTGGAAGGTTAATTACTTTTGAAAATTACTTATCCACAATATTGACGACAAATATTGAAAGAATTTATATTAAATTCCAAAAATAGTTATAATCACACAAATATTACTATAATGATTTATACATACTAAATTTAAATATTTTAATTAGTACAGTTTTTAATATAATTTAAATGTTCTTTAAAAAATTAAAATATAAGAAAAATATTACCAAAGAATTAGGTATTAACTATTTAATTAATAGGCATATCAGAGTAGAATATTATTTATTAAAAATAACAAAGAGTAGGTATCTGTTAAAAGTCTTTCAAGCTTAGACTTAGGGCCAGTTGTACCATCTCCGATTAAAGTTAACCGGAGTTTAACTGGCCGAATTTGCCCGGTTAAATATCTGTTATCAGCTGATTAAGCGTAATCGAAATTGAACCGTAAACAGTACCTATAACTGGCCCTTAGTATCAATTATTCAATTATCCAATTTGGAAGTGGAAATTTATCATTCAAAATTTATTGTTTGATTTGTCATAATCTTATAAATTATTTTTTATTAAATATTAACCATTATACCTGCATTAATTGATACTCAAATTAATATGTATGCAAAAATAAATTTGTAATAAATGGAATTATACAATATTTAGAGGGAAAATTATAATTAATGAATATACTGGACCAATGCGACTAGAAGTGGCAAATTCTGGTTAAATGTTGTATAAGTATGAAACAATATGAATACAAGTTATATTTTAAGATTATAAGGTATGATTTGACAAATATTAATATTTAATGATCAATAACTATCAGTTGTTATAAAGTTGTAGCCCATTATAATGTTTTGCATTTTTGTAAGCTTAGAAAGTACACCTACCATTAATGTTAAAAGTGTCATTGATGTACGGAACGTTCATTTTAGATCCTCTCAGTGTACTTCATAATCGCAGCATTGGTAGCATGAATTCGATCATGGTCGTTTTGTACCTCACCACTGTTACGGAGAAAACGAAATTTTTGATTGACAAATCTCGTTTAGTTGAGGACGACACGTCTTCACGATGGAACAAGAATTTACGAAGTAATTCCCGTACTTGGGTTATTAGTGCAAGATACGTTTGGAAAACCGATCGTCGTAGTCGAGCCTTGATCCTCAGTTGCTTCAGAAAAAGATCCTATTCGCGGACGAAAAAAAAATATTCCTTGACTTCACGTACGATGTACATTGGATATTGACATATTGTTATTATAATAATATCAAAACATGATAACACGTCTTTTGTGAGATTTGAAAAACAAAAGATTTCCTTGGTCTGTGATAACGGCGTATTGGCCGTGGGTGATGGGCGTACGGGAAGTACGGGACTGCTTGACGTATCTCCGGAACCCGACCACAGCTGCTGCTGCTGCTGCAGAATAGAATATTATTATAGATAATCTCCGTCACTAAAACCTGAACACGCACACCCACGACCCACACGCGAGCGTCAACAGCCACTTCCGTATGACGTCACACCCGACGGGGAAACTACACGGTAGTTTTTGTGTACGGTAGTTACCGTGATCGGAATACTATATAGGTCTAATTATTTTGATTACCGCAGACTAGACAATATTATTATCGTACTGATAGTGATAAATAATAATCTTATTCTATAAATATATAAATAATATTATAATAATACTTAAAATATTTAATTCATAACTGAGACTTGAGAGTATAGGTAATAGGTATTTAAACAAGATTACAACTAGAGTTGTTGTAACTTGTAAGTTATAAGTAATCTGCTAAGTGCTAAGCGACGATGCATCCGTTTTGACTCTCGAGGATTTGCATAGGTTATATCCTATGCTCTATAGGTACCTAGCGTAATTGTTGTTGTTGTTATTGTTGTTATTTTTGTTGTTACCGATCACGTCTGGGGTTTCTTGAGACTTGAGGTTATTGCTTGAGTAGCATGACAACATTTAAATGGTTTATGGTATCCAGCAAAACGCGTTCCAGCTAATAAGAGGACGTTGCTGTTACGTTATCGCTTCTACGCCAGATCAAAGGAAACGGTCAGCATTCCTCTCGAGCAAAGTTTTCCACTTCAGGAAACGTTCTCGTCAAATAATAATAATAATAATAATGTTACAAATTATACCTATTGACTTATAATGTTACTTTCTCTGGTATAGGGTGTATGAATACTGTTAAACACAAGCCGGGATTGCAACTTCAGTACCTGTTGCAAGGAGGCTCATACCGAAACACCAAACTACGTAAGTGAAATATTTATCTAATGCCACTTTGCCTTCTGTAATAAATTTAAGACATTCTCCTGTTATCCTGTTAATAGCATTTATTTTGAAGTCTAGATTTTGAAATGTAGTTCCATATATTATGACGTTGGTACGTCTGCACTAGGTAGTGTATTTACTATTTTTTGGGTTCATTTAAGGCCCATAGTCCAAACATTAGATTTTGGATTAGGTACCTAGATAACTTTGATTTTTGTATTTTAAATTTCAATATTGCAATTTGCAGCTGTGTATAGTATATAGGTAGTATAGTATTTATCTTTTGGAAACAGTTCAAATTAACTAGGTAGTGAGTAGTGAACGCTCTAGTCAATTTATCTATAATAGTTTAAAGAAAATGCACTAGGTATTTTATGAACATAGTTATGAAACAGAGTTGTACAGTGTTTAAATAAGTACACAGTCCATGATATCCAATAACTAATAATTTTTCATACAATATGGCTAGATTTATGTAATAGCATAATTATTGTTAAGGGCAACATTGTACTAGATATTTTTCATAATAATTATTTTAATGACTATAGTGTATTCTGTGTACATGTACCTATAACAAATATATGATTTATATTAATTATAGCAGTTATAAGTCGTATTTATTCATATTATAAATTAATTTAAAAAATATAAGTACCAGATTTAGTTTATACATTAAAATAATTTTATTTTTAGTTATTAGTACAATAATTAATATTATAGCCCTAGTTATTATTATATTTAAAGAAAAGCAGATATTACAATTTGTAAAATTAAAATATTCTGTTAACTAGGGAGACTAAACTTATGTTTGGGATTGTTAAGTTTGGCCACCCTAGTTGTCCCAATACTAATTAACTAATAGAAATTAAAAGTGTACAGAGCATGACCGGCACTTCTATGAATATGACTCGGGGCCAGTGTTGTAAATAGTACCTTTTAAAATAAAAATATAAACCTATTAATGTTTTTTGTTTGTATCTTGAATCATCTGAATAATGTATTAGTTGTTATAAATTTAAATATAAATTAGTTATATATTTTTGTAAATGGTAAATTAGAAAAATACCAAACTAAAATGTAAGTATTAAATACTGACAAATTGTAATAATAAGTTTTTTTAATACTAAAAATAATTCTTGTACTTCAATTTTAAGTACAGGACAATTAGTAGGAAGCACTTAAATGATTGAAAAAAGTATATTGTTAAATCTTACATAACATAGGAAACAAAATGTTCTACGAATGACGGTTCATTCCCTAAGAATAATTGTTTTACCTGGAAATAAGAATCTTGTTGCTATTACTATAGTACCAGGCTGTAAATACAGCTTAAATTACCTAATATTTTAGATATCTTTAACCAAAGTCATAGATTGCTCTAAGATGAAAGTTTATGTAACTGATCTGTCCATTTATTTATCATTTTTATTGGTTTATCTATTTATTAATTGTTTTTGTTGGATGAGATAACTTTTTCTTCATAAAAACCACCCATAATTAATATTATAACATAAAATTATTTTAATTTTTATAGAATGTTTTAGGTGCTAATATTAATGTAAGTAGACTGTAACTACTTTTATTTCAATAATTGACAATATTTATTATAATATATTGATTTAATAAAAAAATATTTCCTATTATTATTTTTGGACCATGCTCTCAGATTTCAGTCAGTAAATGTTATTGTTTTATTTATATACTTACTAGTTTATTGTATACCTACTTTTTGAGACCTACTATATTTCATATAGTGACTTTATTTTTTACACTGCTTGAATGTACCTATTTGTTTTAATTACATTTTTCTATTTTTTTCTTTAAACATTCAAATATATAAGTTTGCTTTATAATATAATTGAATCATTTCTATTATAAATTGTAGTTGTTATTAAACTAAACTGTGTATTTTGAATTTGAATAAAATAATTTTTAAAAACTGGTAAAAAATTAAAAAATGCACTGTTTTGTTCAAATGTAAAATTTGTTATGATATAAAAATATACTAAAATTAAATCTATTACAAAAATAAGATATTTAATTTAAAAAAAATTACCACAATGTTTTAATTTATTTTAGATATAAAAATTAATAACTAGATGATTAATTGAAAATATTCAGAAACTAATAATTATAGTATAATTTTTAAAATTGATGTATGTTATATTACCCATTATAATTATTCGGCATTCAAGTTTAAATAGTTTAATGAATTACTAGACACTATTATAGATATACTAATAATTAGAAATTTAAATTTTGAATGTTTGCATTAAACATAATATTTTACATTAAGTTTTCACATTTTATCAAAGCTGGGCAAGTTAACCAATTTGTTTAACTAGTTAAAGTTAAGTTAAACCTAAAATAAAAAATAACTAAGTTAAGTTAAAGTTAGTTTTAAAAAGTTACTGTATTTGAGTAACTAAGTTAAGTTACAAATTTTCATGAAAATAATAACTAAGTTAAGTTAAAAGTTAAGTTACTTTTTTTTTTTTTTAAATACCTTTACCTTACTCATAAACGTTTTTTTTATCTCATCGTAGGGAAATAACTAGTTTTGGTATAAAGTAAAACAAATTGACAACAATTATTTCTTATATATCATTTTATTTATATACGAATATAATATTATAGGAATGTAGAGTGTAGTTTGTAGAAAACACGGCATAAGTATCACAGTATCAGAATTTACTAATTAGGCCCGTTCTGGAAATTGTATTATTACCTACCTATCAATGTACACAGTACACTAGTAACAATGTAGCATACATCTTAACTGTTGTCATTTCATAGAAAGTATTAACTTCCTAGTTACATTACAAATAAGTACCTATAATAAGTAAATAAAAATAATCACTATTTACTATAATACTACTAATTAGTAATTACTATATGTCTATATTATAGTATATTATGGACTATAGTAAATAGAAATAAATAAAATAATATACATATCATCTCCGTCCTGGCGGCTCTCAGAAATATCGATGCAAATACCTAATAAACAGTTCATAAATCATAATAGAAACATTTTTGTAAATAACTTTTTACAAATAACTTTCATTTTAACAAAATAACTAAGTTAAGTTACAATTATTTATAACAAGAAATAACTTAGTTACTAACTAAGTTATTTTCTATATTCTATTTTTTTTTTTAACTAGTTAAGTTAAAAGTTATCAAAAAAAGTAACTTTTAACTTAACTTTTAACTTTTTAACTAGTTACTGCCCAGCTTTGCATTTTATGTAGGTACATTTTGGGTAACAGCAATATAGTTTGGAACCCACTAGAAACAATTTAAACATACTTAGTTTTTCAACTCTATTATTTTCTGTTTTTTGACTGTAAGTATATAAAAGGTATAGTAATTAGTTTCAAACATTATAAATATGTATTTTTTTTGTTCTTATCTAGAATTAATTACTTAACTTACAAAATTCATATAATTTAGGTATGGAACATACAATATTAGTTAATTTTTAGTTAACATTTTTCATGATCAATGTTATCTATTTTGTGATCTTATTATATAATAATACAAAACATAAATGTATTACTAGCGGTCGAAGGTGTTATAGTAAAACCTATGATAATTATTAATTATGATAAAAGCCAAAAATTACCTTTAAACAAATTTATTTATTTTTGTTTTTTCTGTTATTATTAGAATTTAAATTAAATCCTAAAGCAAATACACATTTTTTTGTGATAGTCTTTTTTTAATTATTATTGTTATTCAGTAAGTACAATCTGTACATAAATAGTTTTCTTTTTAAATACATATGGATTATGCCAGGCATGTGGATTGGAATAATTGTATGGTTTTTATGTTAGAAAGCTTTGCTGATTAGTATATGACAATCACATAGGAGTATAGGACATAGCCACACAGGTCCATACAAGTTTTATTATATAGCGTTTTGTATATGTGTAGTTTAATATTTAATAACACACTTAAATGAAGAAGAGAGGCGAATGTTGAGTTTTACCTCTTATTTTTTAAACGTGCTGTCCCGGCTTACACCTTGCAAACACATTTAGAGTAACTGAATGACAGGTTCGAGAAAAAAGTGCAATAGTGATGTGAGATGACTGACTCATTAACTTTTATTTTCCAATTGTTAAACCAATCTGAAAGTAAGTTTAAAAGTTTATGTGGTTTTGGATGTGTACATCAGTTATAGTAACTGAATCTACACATTTTTTCATGATTGTATTAGGGTTGTTTTTAATGTACAGTAAATTATCTATTTGTATAGGTACTTTTTACTAAGTTAGATATTTACATAAAATTATATTATTATAATATATATTAGGGCAGAGCCGGTTCAAGCAAAATAGTGCACTAGGCAAATTACAATTTTCCCTCCCCTAAAATAATAATTTTATCACTTTTTTGAAAATGCCGCCAGGCAGCTGGTGCCTAGCTCGCCTATACCTTGAGCCGGCCCTGTAGTAGGGGCACCAAAATAGGTCGATCTGCGATCACGTGCGAATTTGAAAGTCGATCCCACTATGTTAAAAATGTGTTTTGAGGTTTAGGCTATAATTTTATAATCCTATTCAATAAACAGTTAATACGTCTTTAAAAAATATATTTTTATTTATAAAACCTATTGTATTCAATTATTCTAATACGAAGTAATAGTTGGCAAGACCGCACTCAGAATACATTTTCGGGGAAGGGAGGAGTTGTTATGTATATGGAAATATTGGTAACTGTGTCGTAACCAATCTTCCATAATTTTTGCGATCTACGTGTATGTAAAGTGTTAAGTGATGATACTTCATGTACGCCAATGAATACTCCAAAAAAACACTTGTACTTGATTCATACAAATGTTTTAAATATTAATTTATGAAAAACCATGTCACATAATCATTAAAAAAAAAAACAAAAAAGAGTAGAAATAATTTTAAACAAGTTTGGAATGTTTACTCTGCGACTTGCGAGCTTGCTAAATTTCAGGTTTCTAAACGTATATAAATCAATGCAATAAACTATAATACCAATATACTATATAGGTACCACACACATATTTGTAATCCATACGGCTACGGCCGCTACGGACAGTAAATAAATATTAGAATATCTTAATATTAAGTATTAACAATCGTAATTCGTAACTATTTACTGATAACTAACGGACAGGCACAATGTGGGAATAATATAATATAGTGCTTGAATTGTGAAATAAATGCTTTGTACCCGAATATTTAAGTTTCTTACTGATTAAGATATAATTAGAATAATACCTATGCTAAAATATTTTTAAAATAGAAGAGGTACTCTTCTGTGATTTGGTGATTATTATTTATTAAGCCCTCTAAGAATTAAGCGAATATTTTTTGTATTATTTTTTAGTAGGTAGGTAAGTCTATTTGACTATATAGTACTGTACTGTGACTCATTTTGAAAGTAAATGTACCTACAATTAAATTTTTAATTACTTAAATAAATAGTATCCAGGACGATTTATTTGTAGACTATATTTTCATACGGTTTTTAATTTTTATTATTTCAATTAAACATTACATCTTCAAGACGAATAATTATTAACAATACTAATTACCAACTAATGATGTTTTGTTATGTTCTTATCCAGAATAAAATAATAGGAGAAATATTGTGTAAACAAACGAATTCCACGGTATTTGTGTACTTAGATCCATTTTACTGTGTTTATCTTATTTATACCTACATAATATATTTATTTATAAACTTGCATAATACTAAATTTTTATGATTTATTTGCGTACAAATGTTAATAAATTGCATTTTCAAATATTGCATCCATATCGACTTTTATACTTATAAGTTATAACTTTTACGTCACATTTTGGGGATCAGATGTTTGCGCTTTGGGTTCGGTGGCGTTTATTATTTGTTGAACTCCAACATAGTCTGTATTAACTACTAAAGTCTAAAAGTCAATGAATAAATTTAAATATAAATCTTAATATTATGTAACAAATGTATAAATGTGTATTGATATTATTTATATACAGAGCCGGGTCGAGCAATATTAGCGCTCCTGGCAATTGGCAAAATGACAATTTTGCGCACCCTTATCCTCAAAAATTTGTTGATTTTGCGCTCCTCCACTCATTCAATATGTTGCGCCCCTGGCAGGCGCCACCTTGCCAGGACACCAGGCCCTCTATTTATATATACCAAAGTATATTTATAAATGGATCGTAAACGGATATTATATCAATGATTCGATATACAGATTAACAACTTAATCGATTGGTGGAGCCTGGGAGTGGGGACTTCTTTTTTTTAGTGAAGCGACTAGCTAGGTTAAGTGTATAAAATATAAATTGTCTGTTTGATGTTCTCTTTTTCTCGTATCAGCCAAATCATTAATATTACGCCCAGGGCGATCGGGGTAAAAAATCGGCCCAGGCGATCATAGGTAAAGGCCCAAAAATTACACAAATATACATTTTTTAATGGCAATACCTTAGACAGAAGGGATTAGTACCAAGCTACAGTTTTATAGATTGCATAAAGTAGATACCTACTGACAAAATAATCACGGTCCATTAGCCCGATACACCCGTGAGGGTCCGCAATAATAACAGCCCAGGGGGCGATCACCCACAGTCCGCCCCTGAATTTACGCCATTATTGCGTAATAATGAATCTATTTTTCCATATTTCATACATTATTTTAATGTCAATAAGGGCTATCCTTAGGGTCTATAGAGTGTAGGGTTTATATTCTATACGTTAACTATCATTATTATTTATTACTATCTGTAAATGAATAGGTATACCTAATACATTAATTATTTGCATAGATATTGGTAACTGATGTCTTTATTGTAAAGTGACGTAGTATATTTTTTTCCCAAATTCGTACCATTTCGTAAGACAATAATGTATTTGAATACGGAAAAATAAATAAAATTTGTTATTGGTATACTACTATACTATGGAATAAATCGCGAGCCCTACGCTCGCAGTTTCTATGGTAACGCTTACGGTTTTTACCGTCACTACTGTAGATCAATACTATATTCTCCACTCTACCACTACCCTTGATTATTCCATGCAGGTCTTACGTTGTTTACTTTATTTACGCATTATCTCGTCGTCTGTTGAACACAATATTAGTTCGATACTGTTGTATTATTGCCTTTTGTTTTGTTTTTTTTCGCGAGTTGCGTGATTAGTGTTAAATATAGGCACGTAATTTATAAATCATAACATCAAAGAATAGATGTTACTACATATCGTGTTACGCTTAATATTTATAAACTTAAAAACCTAGTTTTTTAAATTTAAGTAAGCTCGGAACTCGCATCTTTAGATCAGGTAAGAAAATTTGTAATTTCAAAATTAAATTTAATGTTCATCAATTTTGGAGAATCAATTAATCCATTTTTGTTCTATATATTATTTTTAGAATGCATAGTTTTGGTCTGCAGTCAGCTTTAGCGATTCGCCGTCAACGTAAGAGACGAGCTGAACTTAAACGGCATGTGGAAAGACGTCGCTTAAGTTCTCAATCGATAGAAAGTGGAATTCATGGTTCTAAATCTACAGTGACTAGCCCAACAGAATACCATGGATCTGTTGGTAGCCTATCACAAGGGCCAAGGAGAAGAAAGAAACCACCTAAAATGCTTGATACTAAAGTTGCTTCTAGCATAGGCATGCTTCATGTTGGTGTGGTATTTTTAGTTTTGGGCCTTTTTTTAATTGGATCTGGCATTATACCTGATGATTATGTTTCGTGGGCTTCAAAAAATTGGGTTAATGAACTTGTAATAACTGGTTTAACTTCAAGTATAATTGGTCTCTTTTTGCTTGTGTTGAATCATTTCATTAACCGCAAAGCAGAATCAGATTTAGCTGCATACGTGGAACGCCAGTTGACCAGAACAAGATCAGGTAGAAGACTGGTATCAGATGCAGAAACTGGTGCTATGCATACAAAACAACAGCATAAAGCACGACAACAGAGTCAGAATCAACAGCCCAATTCTCCCGGTTCAGATCTTGATCAAATAGCTGAAGAAGAAGCATGTGGTTCAGAGTATAGACCTGTTGATCAATATAATAATCCTGAAACACAGAGGCAGAATCCAGGCAGGACACATAATGCATACAATAGGGAATTATTGGTAACACGGTGTTATGATACAACTGAAACATAGTAAGTTTTAACAAATTAACTTGATAAGAAGTAAAAAAAAAAAAAAAAATGCCGTTTTTAAAATAAATTACTATTAAGAAATTTAATTTATATTTAAAAATTATTTACATTTATTTTATTTGCCTGTTTATGAATGAATATTGACTTCCTTAATTACCTAATATTTAAATATTTAATTATACCTATATTTTATACTTGTAATTTGATATTTTTATACTATTTAGTTGACTTTTGTAGCTTTGTGTTTAAATATTGTTAATTAACTATAAATGCACAATACATTTAGTAAACTGTCAAATTTTTATTGATTAAAAAAAAACATTGTACGTATTGTTTTGCTTGTATTATAATATTTTTGGTTTGAAAATTGAATTGTCAACTTAAAAATACCCTAAACTGTGAAATCACTAACTATAAAGTTATATGATTTAAATTTTTGTTAGGAAAAAATGATAAGCAATTAATATATTATAATTAGTTATTGTTTTTGTTATGTTGTTAGACAAATTTGTTATGTAATTTAAATCATTGAATCAATAATCGTATCATAATACTACTATGGAGATAATTTTATAATAATTATATATGAGTATGTATATTAAATATTTCATGAAGAATTTCTTTTGGAAGACTGAAAATATTAATTTACGTTCCATCTTTAGTTTAAACAAATATTTTTTGCAATCATTGTACTTTTAATTCTTGCTCAACACTTTTCTTGATTTTAAATAATTAAAAATAACACCGGGATCAAAGAAGTATTTATTGTTTTAAGTTTTGCTATTTATTATATAATTATCATTAACACCACTTTAAAGATTAAAACTTATTGTTTCTATGGTTTTAATTTACATGTAAATTTATTTGGTTAATACTTAGAGAATTTACCTCTGTGTTCATAACTATTATTTGGTTTGAACAATGTTCTTGACTTGAATGAAATAACTTGCACTGTGATTTTTGTGTTTATATATCTAACTAATGATAATTATAAGGCATATATTATAATAATGCATTGAATATTGAATTTTTATAATTAACTTATTGTATCATTCGGCTAATTATTCAGTAGAATTAATTAATTTATAATTACTATATATATTATGATTGCTTAACATATTTAAATAAAAACTACTATTACTGACATTTTAATATTCAGAATAATAAAATAAAGTTTTTTAATCATAAATGTATTATTTTTCTTATTTGTTTTTGTTGATAAGTATTATATAACCAATTATTTTGGACTACTTATTCTGAATACGTGGGTGTCTGCGGAGGGGTGCTGGAGGTGGCTATATTAGATAATATTAATTGTTTTATCATTTGTAAAATCAAAAAATAGTGGTTTATATTTCGGCAGGCGCCTTTGGCTGAATATGCTTAGGTATTGTTATGTTTTAACTTATGACTTGAGGCGAAAGAGAAAAAGAGTCTTAATTGGTGGTTGTTTAAATCCATGTGTGTGTTAATGCGGTTATAGTACTTACTTATATTATGTTTGTATTCACTTATTAGTTATTATCTGTTTCAGTTATACATAATATTTTATGAAGTATTAAAAAAATTACCCTTTTTGGTACATTTTTTAATTTATTGAAAGCTGTAAACATTTTGTCTATACTCCTTTTTAAAGCACTAACTCGTATGAAATCTATACATTTTTATGTAAATCTAATACTTATTATTTTAGAAATAATGAAAACCAAATTGAAATGATTTATCAAATTGAAATGTAATTTTGTTCTAAGCACTACAGTATAAATTATGTATAAAAAATATAATTTCTTTATTTAAGGACCTATATCATCCAAAATATGTCATATATGGAATTTTCGGGATGAATCCCGGAATAAAAATCCCCCGGAAAAAAAATCCCCGGAAAAAAAAACCCCTGACGAACAACCCCGGAAAAAAAATCCCCGACCCTAGGAAAAAAAATCCCCAGACTACAATATTACTCACAACCTCATGCAAATGGTTGAACAAATATTTTTTTAACGTTAATTAGTATCTATAATTACATGTTCTTCTTTTGTCAATTCTAATAATATTGCATGTGGTACATTACTCACAGACTCAGCAAATATTTGACTCGGTGTTGCATGTGATATTTGTGCTTTTTTCTTCATTGAATTTTGTAATTTTAAAGCAGCGACTGCATTTTTATTAGAATCATGTACATGGTCATGATCAAGACCAACAAATATTGGATTTTCAATATTTAAACTAGTCTTAAGTACACTCGGACATTTTAAAGAGCTAAATTTAGAACATCGCCAACGTAAAAAATTTGAACACTCTTTTTGAAAATGATAAATAAAGCCGATGTGCGTAATTTTAGGTTTTTTACCATTAGTTTTTAAAATTTTCAGCGTTTCCATAGCGTTGTCGTTTTGTGTATCGTGTACTAAATTTGTAGCTAAATTTGTAGCTAAGATAACGAGTATCCAAATTATGTTCTTGAGCCCATTACAGATTAGATAGGTAGGTGTAACCTTTTAGTACATACTAAACCGCTTATCGTCAAAATGTCACAGAAAACGCAATATTTTATTTCGGGGATTCAATTTTTACAGAATTATACCAACATAAAATATATAGGTACCTATATTTTGTATAATATTTTTGTATACTATGTTTTTAACTGTATTATTAATAGACGTATCGATTATTCTAAATATTTTTATAATTTTTTTAACAATATAATATAATATATTATATTATAATATAATATAATATACGTATTTGTCATTAAATATTAATTATAGTTACTAATTAACGTTCAAAATATATTTGTTCAACCATTTGCATGATGTGATTGTGAGGAATATTGTAGCTGGGGATTTTTTTTCCTAGGGTCGGGGATTTTTTTTCCGGGGTTGTTCGTCTGGGGATTTTTTTTCCGGGGATTTTTTTTCCGGGGGATTTTTATTCCGATTACCTATATGGAATTTTCGGGATACAGCTAATCATCATTAAAGTGTCATCATTTGGCTTCTTTACTCACTTTTATCTTTTGTATACTCATGTTATCTGTCTCTTATCATATATACTTATTATGTCATCTGATATAGATTGTATATTTCGACTTGAAATAAAAAAAAAATAAAAATATTTGGAATTTATTTTAGATACAATATTATCCAATTTTCCAACATTTATTAATAATGATCTCTAAGACAATGTAATTTTGTCAGTAACTAGTAAGTAGTATTATATTTGTTACAGCTCTAATAATAAATTATAAATTGTAATTGGATTGTTCACGGCTGCTTAAATTTGACATTATAAACAAAGCGGATGTTAGATAATAAAATGTAATGATTGTAATCCCTATGGCCCACAATATTTGTAACACACAATTCAAAAAATATTATAATACATTTTATATAAAAACTGCTTTTGACAGTTTGTAAAATTATATTTTTTTTTCACACTTATTTGACTAAAAACAATATAACATGTTACGTCAGCTATGTCATCAATTGATATCATTACTCATGAGTGATGAGTAGAAGTAATAATTTATACTTTTCTCTGCAATAAGATTTTTTTTTAATTCATAAATAATCCAATTTTAGTGTGATAAAAGTATTTGACAAGTGTTTAACTATCTGTTAATTAAAATATATATACCTACAGTGGCATACACAGGATTTTTAAATGAAGGGAGGGGGCTTGAAAATAAATAATAACATTTTAATTTTTAATTTGTTCAGTCTAATCATTTCAGATGTTTAGGTGAGGTATTTCAAAGCGTTTTTACAACTTAAACTTTTCAAGTAGAAAAAATGTTCTGATCATCAACTTCCATGAAGGGTTTTTGGTAGAAAATTGAATCTAGTTGGTATTTTTAGGAAGTCGAAAATTAAAATTCTTAGTAGGTACCTTTTAAAATAATCAAGAAAAAGAATGTTTATTTGTTAAACATTTTAATATTATTATTAAAAAAATTGTTTGGTAATCTCGGTTAGACAGCTTTCGCTAAGATTGTCTCAGACAATTTTTACCTAAAAACGTCGATAAAAAATTATTCGTTCAGTCAGAAAGCTCAAAGACTTTGAAAAATGTTCCTAACACGTTTTTACTATAGATAATTAAAAATATTAACGTCATATATAGGCACAATTATTTTTTATTAACATTTAAAGTTCAAATTTTGACGTAACCACAATTAATTTGTAGTTAAAAATGTATAAAATGTTAATTTTGTATAAGTAATTCTTCAACATTTAATACAGGGGTCCCTCATATTATAAGTAGACTAAATAAAGTAGTTTATACTGTAACAAAAAAATCACTGATCCTCAAAAATCATTGTGTAAATTCCTGTGAATTCACAATTACTGCAAAAATGAATTAAAATTGCCTACATCATTACTAATAAAAGCAATATTAAGATAAAATAAAAATCCAAAGCTTTCATGTTGTCTTCACTTAGATTCGTTTTTTCGTACACAATGATAAATAGGTATCATTGAATTCAAATTTAACACATCCGTAATTGATGTAATAGTGACCAACTCGACACCTATACTATAGAACAGAGTGGTTCTCACCAGTGGCGTAGCCAGGGGGTGGTTTTAGGGGTTCAAACCCCCCCCCTTGGCCTTAAAAAAAAAAAAAAATGTTTTTATTGTATGATTTTAATACTTTTATTTTTATTATTATTTAATATTATTTTAGTATTTTCTATGTAGTATGTACGGCTGTGGGACGTTATTCGGTGATCGTCGCGTGCTTATCGCACCGACGACCGAACGATCCCACATCTACTAAGAATTATATAAACATAAGTATATGTCTATGGCGTGTATGTATGACCCGACGACAGCGACGGGTAATATTGTTCTATATTATAATATTAATATTGAGTCTTGATTATATTCTACTGTGATAGTGTCAAGTGTGGTTTGTTGGTCTGTAACTGTTAAATTCTTAACGGTTTAACGTTTGTTTAATACTAGTTATTACTAGTTAGTAGTTATTAAGGCCACTAATAAGTAATCGCTATAAATAATCTGAAAAGAAAAGCACTCAAGCAATATTGAAATATTGCTGATATATCAATTTATCTAATATATCAATGATATTGAAATAACTTTACCTCGTTTAACAAACATACAAAAAAATCGGTTTAATGTAAAAACTACTTGTCCAAATGAATACTATAAAATATTATTGTTTATTCCATTTTTAGATAATTTTATTAGTCAACTTCATGATAGGTTCATTGCACATAAATCTCTAATTACCAATTTTTGCTGTCTCTTACCAAACAATAATTTGCCAAATAGAGAAGAAAACATAAAAAGTTTGGCAGAAAAGTATAGTGAAGATCTTCAATGTAGTTCAGATTCAGTAATTGGAGAAGTATTGACATGGACACAAAAATTTGTTGGAACAGAAAAACCAAAAAATGCATTAGAAGCTCTTATAGCATGTAACCCACTCATTTTTCCATCTACTTATAAACTTCTCCAAATAATAGCTACACTTCCCGTAACTACAGCAAGCAGTGAAAGGTCATTTTCTACGTTAAAAAGACTTAAGACATACCTTAGAAATACTATTGGAGAAAACAGATTAAATAGTTTAGCACTACTAAATATTCATCGTGAAATTATTTTAACAACAGATGAAGTTCTTAATGACTTTGCAAAAGACTCAAGAAAAATAAGATTGCTATAGCTTGTAATTTATAATGTGAAAAAATATATTAACTTTAATATAAATATTACAATTTAAATTTTTTTTTATTTTCTATTTTTACTTGTTTATAATAATAAGTCAATAAGTATGTACTGCGTGTTTAATATTAACATAAATAAATATATTATTCACCTTATAATATTATTCACCTTCAGTTAATAAAAAAAAAATGTATTACTAAATAAGCGTATATAAGAGTATAACTCGGTACATTTTAGCGCATTTAGTTTTACCACTCCTGAACAATATATTTTAGAGTTGAGCAAAAATAAAAGTCATTAAACCCCCCCCTCGGGTAATTCCTGGCTACGCCACTGGTTCTCACTATCCCATTTTTATTTATATAGGCTTACCTAATCCATTAATAAGTATATGAATTTACATTCTTATTTACTAGTTTACCATACAGTTGAAACTTGATAAATACTTAAAAAAAAAAAATTATAATAATACGGCAATGAGAGGACTTCAGCCCGTTAGTCCCGCCCCCTGAACTGTACGCCATTGTATACCCATATTATTATTGAGGATTGAAAATGAATATTTTAACGCGTACCTATGTAGTTGTTAATAATATATATTATATAGCCATTATAGCCTGTTGGCTATTTATATTGTTTATTAAAATAATAATGTTTTAAATTCACTAAGTTTATTACTATTATACTATACAACAGTACTACAGTTAAAAATTAAACTATATTATATTCGAACGATTATAAATGGAGTTGCTGAATGCCGTCTGTGTTTCGTTTTATTCGCCATTCTTCATTTTAGGATTAGAATTAAACTCGATTCTTAACCTTCGTATATCAGAACCGGGTGCTTCACTAACTGTTATATACTTTCGGGCGCAGTCATTATTTATGCCTGCAACAGAGCCTGTCGTTAGGAAGTTATGGATCATTGATATGAATTATTATTAATAATAAATAAATAATAACAAAGAATACTTATTGAACTATGTAATAGCGGGTTTTTTTTCAACACTATTATGTATTTTTTTTTTCGTTTTAATTTTATTTACTCGGTTTATACAAAATACAGACGAAATAACCATGATTGGGGCGATGCCTGCTGTGGCCGTCCGCCACGAGCGGCGGAGGCAGGAGAAAAAAGTGGTATGCGTGAATAATCTGAACACCGGTGACCGGGAAGGCACGTCAAACACCACTGGAAACCGGAGACCGAGTCTTTTAACACTGCAGTCACCGCATTCTCAGACCGGCACACCGATCACTTCTCCGCCGTACATCCAAAACACGCTGCCAGATATCTATGTCTGCTCAAAAGTAAGCCGACCACCTCTCGCACATACCCCCACACACCCAAAGGACCAACTATATGTGTAGTGTATTTGGTTATTATTAAGCCAATCTTTTGGTCAATTTTGTGTATCAGCCAGACAACCAGCTGACGTCTGCGATTATTTTAACGCAAATCGGAATTTATATCTCTGTCGATTTTAGTTGGTAAAAAAAAATTGTTTCTACACCACTGTATGAAATTTTCAAGTAATTATAACTTTATTTTCGTCTTAATAGCATACTATGTTTTTAATTTCTTAATCCAGAGAGACTGAACTTTTCTAATAACCATATAAAGTTCTTATAAGATGGTAAAATGTTTGTACCCTGCGATCTACATTACAATTTATATTCCCGATATTAATGTACCCTGCAAAATGTGTGATCCACTACTCCATTCATCTAGTCTTTGAAGTTTATAACTTAAAAGCTTATTATGAAAATGTCTTGTTATATTATATAATAATTACTTAAAACTATGTATATGTGTGTGTGGAAAACATTTATTTTTTTAACAAACAAAAATCAACTGAGGCCGCAATAGCTGATTCACAACAAAATCCTCTCTTTGCATTATGTGTATAATTATATACTGTAAAAATACGTATACGGACTTAGGTTAGGTTCGGTTGGTGCAGTATATAAATATATACCACGTCTACGCGAGGACGATCTCAGTGTTTTCAGATGGCGAAAGGTCAATCGAAAACCCCGCGTGTTATTATATCCCTCGATTATTATAATATTATTATTCATCCGTTTAACCGAATTACAATAGGTACTTATCGAACGTATCGAGTATTATAGTTTTCAATCGTGTACACAGACAGTGTTGTCTTAACGTTCTAAAAGATTCCTAATCCGCGAAGACTACATGTATTTATAGAATATAATAAATTATAATAATAATTTTATTAGGTATGGTGTTACTTGTTTCGAAACATTTTGAAATCTCTTATATCCCTATTTTAGTAAAAACCAAAATATAATAAACAGCATGTAATAGAAAAAATAACAAATACAAATATAATTAGCTAAATATGTAATAACTTTTCAATATAAATAAAAACAATTTGTTTATAATAACATTTTGTATAAAAAAAAATATTCATAATATTTGTTAGAAGAAAAGTTATTACATTTGTCAGTTCATTCTGTTACACTTATATAACTGCACCATCGCCACAGACATCTTGTGTGCACAATTAAAAATTCAAAAATTCCGATACAATATCATCTATAAGATTTTATAATATATTATTGTAATTTAAATAATATTTAAAATATCATTAGACGTACGTAAGTATATTAAGAATTCATAAATTATGATATATCGTATACGCATGCGATTGAACTTATATAAGATAATAAAATATATTATTTTTTATCTTCTTATTTTATTTTATTTTTTTTTATCTTTTATTGCTTTTTTGTTCCGAACAAATTACGTGAATCGAATAATTAAAAAAAAATTATTCGGTCTTCGTTTTATCATTTTTTTATATATATTTTAATATTATTAGTCATTATTATTATTATTGTTATTATTATTATCATTATTATTATTTTTGCTTTATTTATTTGGTTTTGCATTTTTATTTTGTTTTATATTCTATTTATGTTCACCAGGGTATATTAAAAAAAAAACTGCATGAAATAGAGCCATTTCGGTCGATCCGAGCGGGACAACAAAGGTACTCGTTAACATGATACTTGCAAATTCCACATGAGAAATTGTTTATTCATGTGGCCGACCCGTAAACGTGTGTCTCAAATGCCGTTCGGATATGTTTGCCACAGGTGTCCGTGCTGCACATAGCCGTGGTGACCATACTGATCGGGGCCATACTGTTGATCGTCGGGCTTGTTCAACTGAAGCCGGGAGCGGACGCGTCTCAGTATAAGTTCGTGTTGATCTTCTCCGGTCTCATCACCACGTTGGTCGGCATCCTCGCGGCCATCGTCCGGTGCTGCCTGCTGCCTTGGGTCTCCAAACGTCGGCAAAGAAGGTCCACCCCGTCAACGCCGGGCATGCTGTTGACCGCATAATAATGGAGAGGACACAGCGCCGCCACCACAATATGATCAAGATTTCTGCTTATCCACTTAACTCACACACACACACACACACATGCTCGCGTTTGTCAGTGACGTGAGTCATACAATATTATGTATAGACAAAAGTATGTTATTTAATTTTTACTCTTTGCCACCGGCACAAAGTTATCCGAAAATGATCTATATATTCGGTGTAAATACTAGACACATAAATGTAATAGACGATATAATAAAATAGACACCGAAAGTTTATACAGGTTTCACGGCGTGATTGATAGCGTAAATTGGTTAAACTGCGGTTGATTATAGTGTGTGGTAGACGAGTTGAATCTTTGGTGTCTCTATACACAATACATTATATAATATTATTGTATTTTATTATATAATACATAATACATATATATATATACAATATAAAGCACACACACACACACACACACACACACAAATACATGGGTCTGTGATTTTAACTCTCACCGACATTGTCTGATGACCGGTCTGAGTAGTGAGTTTATTAAGATGATTTACTTAGTAGGAAAATTCAAATAGAAATTGTTTTGTTCTTGTGTTTTAAAATTGTAAAATCTCTTTTTTAATTTTTGTTCTGCTGTTTATGATTTTCTATCTTATATTTTAATATCCACAGTAAATAATCCTAAACAGTGATTGTAACTCGATCTTAAATTTCTAAATAGGTACGTTTTACATTTCGCACATATGACATATTATATAATTTATACCTATTATACAAATACATTATAAAATGTATATTTTTAAAATATTTTTGGGACCAACAATATGAAACATGAAACCAACATTTCTGGATCATTTTAGTCCGATTCACATGCTACATATCTCTAAATAGTTTTTACCACAAATAAGCAATGTATTCACTATAGTTTTAATTTTTTTTAATATTCCAAATCTGGGTCTTTATTTAATTTTAATTTTGTAATTATATTACCTATAGTTTAAGTTTTATGTTAAAAATATACAAACTTTAATTCACTGGTCCATGTTAGTGTTGAGGCAACAATAATTGTGACTTTGCTAGTTTTTGGATTTATGCCGTAACTTTTGAAGTCTTCCATTATTATTTGTTATCCTATGTATTATGCATATATTATTTTAATTGACTGACCTTCAACAAAACTGACCAAAGTATAATTTAACCGTTCAATCAAAATGTCGTAATGTCCTAAATCAAAATATAGCACTTTTATGATTCGCTCAAAATTAAATTAAATAATAATATATTCTTTGTTATTGGCCAACTTAATTCATATAAGGAACTTAAGAATGAATTATTATTAAAGTTAACAACATGTTCAGTAATTTTGTTAGTACAATTTTGACATAAATTATGATCTATTCTCACAATCTGACTTTAAATCAAAGTTAAAATAATCTTGAATCTTATATCAAAGGTATTTTATATGAATACAAAAAAATATATTGAAAGGATTTAAATGTTAGATACTTAATTTTATAAAAAATGTATTAGTATTTTATAACTGTTCAAGTCTTTTTTTATGTATATATAAAAATATATATATATATAATATATACTTATGGAATCATTAGTAATCTCTAATTTTTTGAGTAATGCAAACAGAGTGATTATTAAAAGGGTGTAAGTATACACATACACTATTTAAAAGTGGGGCATTCATTTATATAATAATTTTTTAATACAAATGTTTTAACCCATTTGTGGAATAGCCCAATTCATGTAATAAACAATGATAAATACCGCTCATTTCATGAACTAAGAAACAAACAATTGTTTTAATAGATCCCACATTAACATTTTACATAGTTGAGTTTAAAGAATTATACTATTATTATTTATATTTCAATTTTATAAGTTAATTTTAGGTTGCAAAGATAATTTTTACAAATATTCTAAAAACGGTTTACATTTATTTTTATTTTTATACCAAACCACGTGCATTAATAATTAATAGTATTTAACATTTTAACCTTATAATTTTTATTTCTTTTTCATCATATAATTTTTGTCACTTGCCATACATAATATTAAAAATTTAAAAATAATATATTTTTATATTGTATTATTGTATTTAAAAAAAATGAATGATAACTATCTACAATAATAAAAAAATAAAAATTACATCATAATATATTTAAAATTTACTAAGATCTAGAGTTTTTCCAGTTCACGAAATTGGGAAATTCACAAATGAGGTATACTAAGCACAAATATGTGTAATGTAAATAAATTAGTTATTTTCTATGTTATAGATAAAATAATAAATATAAATGTTATTATATTTTATTTGACATACAATTTATAGAACCGTTTATAATTACATACTACAGTGCAGGAATGCTCATAAGGCTTGTCTGAATTGTGACCTTGAAAGTGACCATTTTTATTTATGTAAGACTTAAATGTTTTGTGCCAAAAATAAATTTCACTTTTTATATTTTAATATTAAATTTTCTACAAATTCTTAAGAATGTCACAAAAATAATTATTGTTTTATTTAAGCTTTTAATTTATTGTATGGATAAAAAAAAATAGTCTATCCTTGGACCTTTTTGATAATCACTCATTGTTTAAAAATTAATTTTATTTCAATGAATTATTTTATTTTATAATAGATATAATAATAAAAAATAGTATCATAAATTATGTTCTCTTATAATAATTTGTCTAATATTTAAAAAAATATTTTTCTTATTTTTTACACATGAATATAATAGTAATAACTATATGATCAATCACTTTTGTTTATTGACATTTTTTAAAATCAAATATGTCGAACATTTTTGTTCTGTTGATCTGTTAATTCTTATGATATTTTATTTTTAACGTTATTACAAATTAAGGAAAATATATATAAGTTACCTTCCAGGAATTTTTTACCAAGAAAAATTGTGATAATGTTAGTAATTTTTAGTAGTAAAACATATTTGAATACAAAATTGAAAATGTATGTTTGATAAGAATATAAGTAGTATTTATTGCGATTGCACTTATAATCCGCCCAATCTAATCTCTTAATCGTATAGTTTTGTATATTTTGTTCCATTGATTATTCAAATTGTTAATAATGTGCCATTTATAAGGTGCATTTATATATAATATGTGTATAATAATAATTAATAAAAGATAAAAAATAAATAAATAAATAAGTACCCAGTACCTACCATTATCAATAGTACCTTATAGGTAATAATATAGTTATTTTAAAGCTACCGCAAGCAATATATAAATAATAGTTATACATCATCCAATGCTTTGCAATGCTTATCAGAAAAAATCCATCTAAATAAATTATTTATATCTTATTTTCATATATTAAGCTATTTTTGTAATAAAAAAATTATTCTTTTTGTTATTTACCTATGAATCTGCATTAATAACAAGAAGTATTCAGTTTACATAATAGCCTGGTAAAATATATTATTAATTACCTAATACATTATTGGTATTTTTGTTATTATAATTATTGTTATTATTGTATTTGTGTATTTTCTATTGTACTATACAACCTGCCATGCACATTTGAATAATTTATGATATTATACTTTCGTTTAATTTTTAAGACTTGCATAAAGATATTATGTTTTTTTTTGTTATTTTGCACCATAATTTTGTTTAATGTAACATTTGAGACTTCAGTGATAATATATGTATATATATATGTATGTCATATTTATGTATATATATATATACATCCAAAATATTAGCGTGTGTACCTATATATTGATGAAATTTTCTTAAGATTAATAAAATGTTACTAAATGTGTTTAACTACATAAAAATGAACTTTATTTGTTGTTGACATTATATCCTATCCTTGATGACTTTTTTTGATATTTACATCAATAATTTTGTTCCGATATAAAGTGTTTAACTTAATTTTTTGTTTGAAGAGACATGGGTAGGTCATTTTGTAAATTATACTTGGTCGACTCTATAATTATAATAAATTATTGTTTACTGTAATTGTTACAACATTTAAAATTGTCATGGAATTATCAGTAACTTCTATGTGTATTATTTTTCTATAAAGACTGATTTTATTTAACATATAGAGGGTCATAAGCTCATACCCACATGTGAGGTGACCCAGACGGTACAGACCACACAACGTCAAATTTTACGTTCAGAACTATCAATTTAAGTCTGTTATTTAATATTTTTAATATTTTAGTAAATTGATATAATATTATTAAATTTAAAGTGGGTTAAGAATATAACCTATATTAAGACAAAGTGACCAACTTACATTTCATTTTAATATTTTAAAACGAGTCATTAGGTTTTAAAATTGTAAATTTAAAATATTACTAGATAAAAGTTCAAAATTTTATGTAATTAGTCAAATTAAAATTTCGATATTTTGCAAACTATTTTGTTGTTAAAGGTTATAAGATTTTCAGTTTTTATAGCTAATAAGGATTGACAATTTAAAACATGGTTTCTAAATTTATACTGTAGCCAAAAAATATAAAAATATACATTCACCGTTTTATCTATATAGATATTTTAAGTTCAAATTTGTATGAAATTGGATGTTACTAAAGAAGAATAAATATTTTATTTATTTTGTATTAATTGAAAAATATCATTCTTTGGGTAATTGAAACTTTTTAAAGTATATTATTATACATTTATACTTTGTAGTAGTTATACACCAACAAGATGTCACAATGACACTTTCAAATGCAACTGTTTCAGCAAAAAATTAATTCAATCTTACTGTAGGATTACTAATGTCTAAATAC